CTCTCTCTCTCTCTCTCTCTCTCTCTCTCTACGCGTCTCTTTCTTGTATGTGCTAATTGCCAAATAGAGTGGTACAAGTTCGAAGACACTCCCCGGCACGCCGTACACCGGACGTTCGAAAATTCTCGAGGAGGAAGAGGAAGAGGGAGAGAGAGAGACAGGTGGATGACTCGAGGAGAGAAAATTACTCTGGTCATCGAACCTCAAACGTCTCACGTGTGATACACATCAACGTTCTTCAACGTTCCGCGCGAAATCGCGCTTTTTTTTTCTCTTTTCATCGAAGTGAAAAGAAGGCGGATCGAGACGTGATCTGATTATATTCTCTGACAGATCGCCTTTTGCAACGATCATTGGCGAGCCTGATTATTCTCCACGGAAGAAAAGAAAAAACGCCTGAAGTTCCGCATTTTAAATACACATTTAAAATGCGCGAAGTGTATAAGTAGATTTAAAAATGGGGAATGATTCATTTTACTTACAATTCTTTTAACCCCTTAACGCACAGATTTTTTGAGGAAAAAAAAACCGGCCAAAATTAATTTTTTTTAATGTAAAAAAAACATTAGAACATTGTCTTGGCAAAAAAATAAAATTCCCGATTATATTCGAGGGTGAAAAATTATAGTAGCATAAAATACAACGCCGCTCGAATTATCTCGAGTGTGCACAGTTTGGCCTTTTTAGCGCGCTCGAATTAACTCGAGCGCACAAGTTAAGGGGTTAAGGTGAAGTGAAACCCCCTTCAAATTAGTCGATTCGAATACAACACTTTTTTTTAAGAGTATTAGACCAAACTGTCCGAAACTTTGACACGTCACTCCTGATCATCTAAGAATTGTCCTGACATATTCAAAATTTGGATTTTTGGAAAAAATTTTTAATTTAGCCCAGACCAGAACCAAAATGGCGTCGAGGTCTCATATTTCGATCAGTATACAATTATCGAAGGCTCTGATATCAGAAACGAAAGGGTCAGGACAATTTTACAATTTAGAACACTCTGGTAATTGATACACTCGATTTCAACGGGATAAAGGCAAAAAAGTGTTGTATGCCCTTCTGTGCTAAAACGATGGGAATACGAGGTCTCGGAGTGAAAATTGAATTGACCTGGAAATCACAGATGGCGCAGGGTGTCCCTCTGCAGTGAATTAGGGCCCCAGAAAGCATGAATTCAGAGGATTTCTGGTCATTTACTTCTATTTCTTGATATTTATTGTACGAAAACAACAGGTGGAGTATGCTATTTGGTACAATATCCAATATAATTCGATACAGCTGTCAATATAAAAACGAACGTCGGCAACGTAGGCATTTAGAAAGATCTTCTTTATCGACGTCAATCAAGTTCCTCAACGTGTTTCACTTCACTTTAATGCCGATTTCAGTTGTCACTAATGATATATGAACATTTTTAAATCAAAAAAAAAAGAGGAGGTTGGAAGAGACGAACATGAAGTTTTATGTTTTTCTACGTTTTTAAAAAATGTGCATTCGGACGAACACTTTTTCGATGTTTTTCTGTTTTGTGTGCGTTACAGGATAATTCTTGTGAACTGTGAGTTCTTTTTCAATGTTAATTTCTTCAGTTTGAATGGACAAAAATTAATTTCTGTTTAGTAAAGTAGGTCGACGTGAAGGGTTCTTATTAAACAATCTTGAGGGGCAGAATTAAAAATAATATCTTTAACGGTAGTCGCACTTTAAAAGTGCTATGTTAAATGTAACGGACAACGGCGCAATTCTTGCGCAAAAATGATCGATACCGATCGGGATCCGATTGCAGGGTTCGGCTTAACGACCGATCGTTATCGACAGGCGTTATCAATGGAACGTGACGAAGACGCGTTCTCTCGTTAAAGAGGTTAGGAATAAAAAGATGCGTTCCTTCCAGATAACCGGCACAGAACTCTCTAGTTGGATTGATGGATCGATTCGATAAATGCATCGTTTATTTTCCTCGAGGAAGACACGTTTCTCAAAGCGGGATTATCGAAATGAATAAATTTCGACACCGTCAAATGTTGATATATTGATATCGATCTTAATTTAAAAATAATAACAGCTTCAAATGACCAAATTCCCTAAGAAATTACTGTTTCTCTTAATTTTAAAATGTCTCCTGCGAATAATATTAATATTATTCATTTTCCCGAGCTTACTGGAAATTTAGAAATCTGATTGGCGAAATAATGAAACGACTAAGCATTCGATCTCCTGAAGTCCCATATTTCTTGGAACTGTTATACTTTCTAGCGTTGTTTGCTATTTTTTTCTTCTTCATATGCAAGACGGATCAGCTAAAGTGTTACAAACTCTTTTCCGCATAAGTATAAGAGATAACGAAACAATTCTTCGCGTGAAAGTTTACTGTTTACTGATGGGAGAAAAAAAATACATTTAATGAGTTCATTATTTCTCATTCTGAACGTGTTAAAATAAAATTTCTATTCTTTATAAAATCCCTTATTTTTATTTACCACTTTTCCGAGCTGCCGGACTACAGGATATGTTTATAAAGACTGTTCATTAATTCATGGCGAAATATCATATATGATTCTTTTTATACATTAAAACGTATAAACTTAAATGCAAATAGCGTAACTAAAATGATTAAAATGATAATAATACATAAAACGGATCTGGACATATATAAGTAATGAACATTTCAAATTAGATGGCAGTAAAATCGCGTGTTCTATTTTTTTAGGTACACCTCTTTTTCCCATGTAATCATCAAACATGAAACGATTCCTATCGCGTAGACGTCCAATTTGATGCTTAGCATATTTGGACTGACAAAATCTTTCTCACAGTAGAGAGTCTCTCTTCCTACATTATATGATCGAGGAGATGAAAAATGTACCTCGTTAAGAAGTCTGTTCTCAGAAATTTCCCACAGACGAATGTGCAGCACTAACATTATATAAATGCACATAGGATCGTCGTTCATTACGCGATTCCAATGATGTGAACCACCAAATCCATTTCGCAAAGTGCATTTAAAATTGTAAACGAAATTTCCCGCCAATTAAATTTTCTATACGCCCCATTAATGAAGAATATACCCTGACATTAAAAATGAACTATTTGTAACTTTTCTCTAAATGTAGTAAGTTTCTAAAGGGATTTAATCTACTTACATCTTTAATTTTAATTACTTTCAGCAACGGAATAAAATTAATTCTCGATTATTTACGTTGCAAACATTCTTTTTGTTCAAGTTAATAATATATTTGTCACTGTGTGCTGTGAAAATACGTTTCAAGAGAAATTCTTTTACTCCAAGATGTCGTTGATATCGCATTAGAAAGTTACTAGGACACCCCCTGGGAAGAAATTACTATCCTTCGGTAAAGCAGCCGCGAAAGATAACGAGATTACGGTCAACGAGTATGTAACTCGCTTCATTTTCATGATCAACGAGGTGACCAAATACTACTCGACTCGATTTAAGTCACAAATAACTGGAATCAACCACATTGGTGAAATTTTCTGGTCATGGTCGCTTCAAGCATCCGAAGGATATCCTCCTTTTGTAATATCTCCAAGAAAACGTCGAAGTATCAGCAATCTATTCTAAATTGCTATTATCAAAACCGATATATAATTTCGCGATAACGGTGAATTCGCTAATGTATATCTTCGCGCTCTGAATATGCAACTGGTGGATATTTTCATGGGTAAAGCGACATCGTTAAGAAATCTCATTATCGCATCCCCCTTTCCTTAAAAAAAATTAAAAATATAATCACCCATTTACGAGATTTTAATGTACATTTTTCCACGAAATATCTTATCAAAGCTGCCCTTTAACTTATTTTTTTAATAATACCACCATTCGCTAAATTTCCTGCGATCACACATAGCGTAAAAAAATAGTGAAAGAGATCGCTCGCGGCATAAATATTATTCTAGTAATTCTAGATGGATGTATTCGAGATAAGTCCGCAAATCGCACCTTGCGTCGAATGGGCGGTCACAGGAATTTTTCTTGTGAATAAAAAAAAAACGACGACTTTCAAGGCCAGGTTTCTCAGGACGCACGCAGCTCCGGGATCTCGCGCAAGTCGGCATGTCGATTTAATGAAATGGTCTTCCATTACGCCCAGGGGCACGAAACGGAGGTACCCTTACACGAAAGAAAGTCACGTTGAATGCGTATCTGGCAGTCGCGCTTAATACACCGGGGCCTTGCAACTTTTGCATGCAACTGTGCCACGCGAGGAGGAAATTGCTGCGCATTTTTCTCGAGAGATTCTGAGTCCGATGACGCACGGAATGTGTTCCTCGCGAATGCACCGCCTTCGAGAGAAAACGCCTTGTCGATGTACCCACCTCTAAAAATTTTAACGGCGGCTTTAAAAGGGACTTTCCATACTTGGGCATTGTTAAAAGCGCGGAGAAAAGTTACCCCGGTAAGAAAAAAGTCTCGGTACTTCGGAGGAGGAACGAGCACGGGTTTTCCAGTACACCAAGTGAATCGAGTGACGCCTGCACCGACGACTTGTACTTTATTTATATTCACGAATTTATCGTAAATTGGTCGCCTCATTTTCTCGAATCTATCTTATCGGCGTTATTACCGGATTATCTGACCGCCTTGTTTTTAACTCTTCGACGATAAGCGCAATTAAACTCATTGTCCCGGGTAGGAAAGTAACGTCGGGTATAAAACCTCGTCGAAGGACATGCACTTGGCGCGGAACTCTGCCAAGTTTCTCTACCAAACCTCGAACATCCTTCCTAGAGAAACCTTAGACAAGTCTTGTTCAATGGTCTAAAAATCCCAAAATCCAATCTTATCCACCAGGCAATAATAAATGTCAGAATAATGTTCAATACCGATAAATGTCCAGCCTCTGCGTTTCGTTCATACTCTAATTAACGGGCAGAAGTTGCCCGCTAGGGAAACATTTTCCTTTGTAAGACCAGAATACCATCTTCACCCGCTTTGGAGGAAAACAATGTAGAAAATTAAATGAATGGTATACAAATAGAAGAAATTCAAATTACTCACTGAAGTAGTTAAGCGTCTCTCGGATCTGATCCGGCGATAACTTGAGATCAGCGTCTTCCAACCTGAGTGCGGGTGCTGGGATGAACCAGTCGGCGTTCTCGTATCCTGAAACGCACCATCAAAGGTTAATTGCGATCCTCATCGCCTCCCTGCACGACTCGGTGTACAAGGCGGTTCAATTTATGCCCTAGGTACACTTGCAATTGGAGCAAGCGCTCCCATTTCTCGGCCAGTGGCCTAGTTCTTGCCAACATGCGACTTAACGCGCTTAAGGTGAAGTGAAACACGTCAAGGAACTTGATCGACGTCGGTAAAGAAGATTTTTCTAAATACCTACGTTGCGGACGTTCGCTTTTATATCGATAGCTGTGTCGAATTATATTGAGTATTGGACTAAATGGCATACTCCCCCTGTCGTTTTCGTACAATAATTATAAAGAAATCGAAGTAAAACTCCAGAAATCCTCCGGATTCATAGTTTCCGAGGTCCTAATTGACTACAGAGGGACACCTGCGCCACCTGTGATTTCCGTGTCAACTAAATTTTCCCTCCGAGACCTCGTATTACCACCGTTTTAGCATAGGAGCGCGTAAAACACTTTTTTTGCCTTTATCCTGCTCAAAGTTTATTGATTACCAGTGTTCTGAATTGTTGTAAAATTGTCTTGACATTTCTCATATCAGAGCCTTCAATAATTGTATATTGATCGAAATATGAGAGCTTGACGCCATTTTGGTCCTGGGCTGGGCTAAGTTAACAAATTTTTTTCAAAAATCCAAACTTTGAATGTGTCAGGATAATTCATGGATGATCACGAGTCATGTATCAAAGTTTGCTCCAATACCCTTAAAAGAAAAAGTGTTTTATTCAAATCGACTGAATTGAGGGGGGGGTTTCACTTCACCTTAAGGTGGTATTCGAATCGACTGATTTGAAGGGGATTTCACTTCACCTTAAGATGAAGGAGGTTTCACTTCACCTTAAGATGAAGGAGGTTTCACTTCACCTTAAGGTGAAGTGAAACCCCCTTCAAATTAGTCGATTCGAATACAACACTTTTTCTTAAGGGCATTAGACCAAACTGTCCAAAACTTTGACACATCACTCCTGATCATCTAAGAATTGTCCTGACACATTCAAAATCTGGATTTAAAAAAAAAATTTTTTAACTCAGCCCAGACCAGAACTAAAATGGCGTAGAGCTTTCATATTTCGATCAATATCCAATTATCGAAGGCTCTGGTATGAGAATCGAAAGGGTCAGGAAAATTTTACGACAATTTAAAACACTCTAGTAGTCGATAAACTCGCATTTCAACGGGATAAAGGCAAAAAAAGTGTTGTATGCGCTTCTATGTTAAAATGATGGGAATACGAGGTCTCGGAGGGAAAATTTAATTGACCTGGAAATCACAAATGGCGCAGGGAGTCCCTCTGCAGTCAATTAGGGCCCCAGAAAGCATGAATCCCGAGGATTTCTGGAGTTTTACTTCGATTTCTTTATAATTATTGTACGAAAACGGCAGGTGAAGTATGCCATTTGGTACAATACCCAATATAATTCGACCCAGCTGTCAATATAAAAACGAACGTCGGCAACGTAGGCATTTAGAAAAATCTTCTTTATCGACGTCGATCAAGTTCCACGACGTGTTTCACTTCACCTTAACCAAACGACAAGACTCCGAGTTGTCAGCGCCATTCTTTAATACGATCGTATTACATTAGTTAAAAATTATTTCTCGCGAAATCAGAATACACGCGTGACGATAAACAGACAAGTAAGATCGATTTCGAGTCGGTCTTTCATCGGTGTTTATGCCAGTTAGCTGTTCGGTGCGGTGTCGGTATCTAATAATGGAGCCAATTAGACCGTCTTTCTTACGAAGTAACATCAGCTATGCATTCGAAGCGATTTCTAATCGGCATTAATACCCGTTCCTGCCATTTGCGTGAACCGCGTCCCGTGGAATGTTGATCGTGCATACTTTTTCATTCGTATTCATTTTCAAGGCAATGGCCATTATTCTTCAACATGATAAGAAGAAAAATTTGGTCCATTTAACAAAATCGTTCGATTAACTGCATTTGGTTAATTTCAGAGAACGATTTGGTCGAATGAACCGAACTTTAGTTCACTTGATCAAACTTGTTTGCTTTAATCAACTAAAGTGTTTGGGATAAATTAGAAATCTTAGAAAATATTTACACGATAAACCAAATATTTTGGTTAAATATATGAAATTACTTCAATATTTGCTGTTATCTGTCACAATATTTAATGTAATCGACCGAAAGTTATTAACCAAATATTTTTGTCACGTCAACCAAATCTTTGGTTCTTTATATAATAACCGTATTCTGTGGTTGCACCAATAAAAATGTTATCGATTCAACCAAATATTTTTCTGCGTGTAGGTGTATCCCAGGTGTGAATATTGAGTAGTTAATATTTATGATGATTAGTGGCTACTTTTAAATGAACGGTAAGATCCAGTAAAACATACTTAAGGGGTTACACCACTTTGACCCACCCAAAAATTACGGTTTTTCAAGAATTTTTTGTTAAGAATTAAAACGTTTTTTATCCAAATTTAAGTACAGTAAGGTATTATACTACTATTAAACAAAAAAAATGCTTTTTTTGTATTTTTCTTATTTACAAAAATGGCGGCTTGAAAGGCGATTTACCGGAGCGCTGCGAAAATCGATGATCGTGCGGTGGGCACGGTAACTCGGTCCAGGTTTAAGTTAGAACAATAAACGAAAAAGAATTAGTTTCTGTAGCCCAAAAGCTAGCGAAATACGTAGCCGTTTTCAAAAATATGCATTTTTCACAAAATGGCATCGATTTGAAAGGAAAGATACGTATTTTGCCCTAAATTTCGTTAATTAATGTGCGAATATCAATACATTGAAAAAACCATACGTATTTCGCTAGAGAAACATATCACGAATAAAATATAAAAAAAATCAAGACGAATGATTGAGAATTGGCGGAGCTAGAGTGCCCACCGATTTTTAAAATGCAGTTTTAAGAAAAACGCGTTTACAGTGTCCGTGAAGTTGGCCCCTATACACCTATACACCTGCCCACCGCACGATCACCGATTTTCGCAGTGAGCGAGTTTAATAGTAGTATAATACCTTACTGTACTTTAATTTGGATAGAAACGGTTTAACGCTTAAAAAAATATTCTTGAAAAAACCGTAATTTTTGGGTGCGTCAAAGTGGTGTAACCCCTTAATCGGTTTTAATAGACCCTTTCCTGACGTGATCCTTTTAGTAAGGACGACATGAGGTGTGCGAGGAATGTAATACGCACCTACGTTAAAGGGACACGATAAAGCTTCACCTCGTTAAATGACATCTGACACGGGGAGAAGTTACGGAGCTTCTTTAATCAGTAACATAATCCCCGTAATAGATTTTACTATTAACAACGCGAATAAGGGTGTGTACAGTTGGAATTTTCGTCTGGCTTTTCGGAGGACGATGGAAGAAAGTCCCTAAACAACTTCCTGTAGAAAACTTGACTCTTAAAAACCCAAAATGAGTTTAATTCGTGCACCTACGAACGAGGGCACCGCACCAAGTGCACAAGATTATTTAATTCGCGTCAACGTTATTTCGTTTTTGCGTACCTTGGTTCTGTGCAATTTATATTAACGTTAATATCAATGGAAATTTTATGCAAAGAGGTGGCGTATCTCCTGATATAATCTACATTAATTAGTACGTCCAAATGGGAATGAAACGGAAGGATACAAAAGTCACATCTGTATGAAAATTTAGTCTCTACCCTCCTAATAGGTTTAATTTGTGCAACTGGAAATTAGGGCACTGCACCAAGCGTATAATAATCTTTTATTCTCACTAACTTTTTCACGTTTTCCCGTACGTTGGCTCTGCGTGAATAATATTAATATTAATATTAATATCAATGTAAATTTATGCGAAGAGCTAGCGTATCTTGATGTCCATTTACGTGAATTAGGGCGTCCGAAGGAGCAAGACAAACTGCGAGTCCGCGAGCTGCCGAGATCTCTCGCAAGTTGAGGTTAGAATCTCCAAGAGGGCTCAGAGAAATGCGAGAAATTTATTTCAGGATCAACTTGACCGCCTGAGGCCACTTGCTACTGCACAGTACCGAGGTTTTCGGCTACTCGGAACTGCGCATAATTGGCGAGAGCATTAAATAAACGAGTACTCGTTTCACGATACAGTTCTCATGGATCATAACGAATTCCAAAGAAAATCTTCGATGCAAAAAAATTAAAAAAGAAAAAAAAATCATAAGAGCAAATATTCTTGACCAAAGTGAAATTCATAAACATAAATGTAACTACTTCGAGATGCTTCTTTTCTTCTCTTCAAATAATTCGTCGTAAAATGTTCGATTAACAGATCACGCTTTCTACCTAGGTGTGGATATTAATCTTCGTTTTTGAATATTATATGAGAGCTGTTCGATATAACTGCATTCAATCTTGTGGAATGTTACAATGTACGATTATTTTGGGATTTATGAAATTCGGGCTTCTGTAAGTTAGGAAAAATCTTTGGAATTCTTTCGGCGAGTATATTCTTGAAAAATGCCCAAAGCTCCAATTTTTTCGGGCTTTGGAGAGTAGCAGAGCATTAGCCATGTGCAAACCGACCTTGGTCTTCGCCTAGTGGTCGATGTCGACTCGAGAGCATCTTCTCTAAGGTCACATCCCCTCTTTCGTCCGACACTTTCGATCTTACCCTCGTTTCCTAGCGTTACCTGCTTCTCCCAGTTCTTCCAACCGAGGAAGAGAGGGAGAAGGCCCAGAGAGAAAAATAAAATGGGAAAATAAACAACGACGGAAATAATTCTTACCTTGAAATTGTGTGATGGTGTCTGCCCGTAAGCGGTATTGCGGTATCTGCTCTTCTAACAAACTGATTATTTCGACTTCCGGTAGCTCCCCTCCGCTGCACACCTCTGGAACATTTAATTTAACAAATGTTAATATTAATAAATGTCGCGTTGCAGCCGAACGAACGAAAAGATGTATAACAAGTACGTGAATAATTCAAATAAGCGATTGGCCTTAAAAGCTAATTTAATCTTAAAAACTAATCAAGCACAAATATATGCTACATCCGGGTGCAAGTTTTCACTGTAATAAGGCGCAGTTTTACGTCCTGCTAGTCCCGCGTCTTCAATATATCAGAAAAAAGAAAACTATAACACCTAAACATCAAAATTATGCAAGTTCGTTTACCACGCGTATCGTTTATCATTATGAAAAGAGACTGGCCATATCTCAGAAACTACAAATATCTTTTTTCATCAATTTAAAATCGCTATCTCTTTCCATCATCCTAAAAAATATATACGTCGTTCACAGGCCAAAGTGATTAACTCGACTATTAGAACCTGTAAAATCTCAGTTCTAAAGCACTTAGTTGAAGCTCAACTTTTTATATCCATCTATTTTCTCTACTTTAATTATACGTGAAGTTATATTTCATCACTTTGTCCTGTGAACGGTTCTTATGGTAGTCTCACATTAATAGATATCGCGGTTTTTTTAGCGAATAGGGTATGCGACAAAAATAATATCAAAACATGTATTACCGATAATTTCAACTAGAAACGTTTTCGTCGTGTAGGAGGTATTTTGGATATGATAAATGCGAATGCAAACGAACATCTCTGTCGAGAATGGGGACGTTGCAACAAATAGAGTGAAACCCTTGCTCGGTTGTAAAGGAAACCTAACCTCTCGCGATCTACCCCACGGAAACAGGCACGGCGAAATTTTTTGGCAAAAAGGATCTGCGGCAAGAATAATATTAATACATGTATTACCGATAACTCCAACTAGAAACGTTTTCGTCGTGTAGGGGGTATTTTGGATAGGATAAATGTGAATGACAACCAGCGCCTCTGATAAGAATGGGGATCTTGTAGAAAATAGAGTGAAACCCTTGCTCGGTTCTAAAGGAAACCTAACCTCTCGCGATCTACCCCACGGAAACAGGCACGGCGAAATTTTTTGGCAAAAAGGATCTGCGGCAAGAATAATATTAAAACATGTATTACCGATAACTCCGACTAGAAACGTTTTTGTTGTGTAGGGGGTAATTTGGATAGGATAAATGCGAATAAAAACGAGCGCCTCTGATGAGAATGGGGATCTTGTAGCAAATAGAGTGAAACCCTTGCTCGGTTCTAATATTATATTATTTCTTCTACCCCACGGAAACAGGAACGGCGACATTTTTTTTGCAAATAGGGTTTGCAGCAAGAATAATATTAATACATGTATTACCGATAACTCCAACTAAAAACGTTTTTGTTGTGTAGGAGGTATTTTGGATAGGATAAATGCGAATGACAATCAGCGCCTCTGATGAGAATGGGGATCTTGTAGAAAATAGAGTGAAACCCTTGCTCGGTTCTAAAGGAAACCTAACCTCTCGCGATCTACCCCACCGATACAGGTTCGCATTGCGTTAGCGGTAAACGCATAGCCCGGCCAGGTTGCGTGCGAGCTTCTCGACTTTCAGCCACGTATTATCTATGTAATTAAATATGGCGTCCGAGGCTCGCAGCCCCTTCGGCTTCGGGACAAGAATTGCTCCAAGGAACGACGGGACGTCAACCTGACACCTGCCACATGACACAGGGGAAACGCGCAAAGTGGATCACCGTCTTTCTTGCGTTCCGGCGGAACGTCGGTCATCGAAAATGATTTGTCTCGAAATAGATTGGATGATGTAAAAGGTCCAGAATCACCAAATGGAAGAAAAGTCATTTGCAGTCCTGGCAAGAACAACATTGCCCACAAAGTTTTGCTTTTACTGCAGTAATAATTCCACTAACGACAAAAATCTTTGCAATTGCATCGAACGTAGACGTAAATCTAAGAGGGTCCTTTAGAAGAAAATGTTTACCAAATTAGCAAATCAATTTGAAAAACGTATCGTCGTTCCTGCTCGATCGAAGGAGTATCATACGGTTTGATGTCAATGATAAGAAATGTTGCAACCATGAATGCAATTTGTGTCACCCAAGTATAGTAATATACTTTTATTGTTTCCCATGCAGCAAGATCGTTTCTACAAGAAAGATTTCCTGGTCCATTTTGAAGCGTTTATAATGTTTGCCAAAGCGAGTCAAATGCATCATAACTGTGAATTATTTTTCCGCGTGAGTGCAGCCGCGAATCTTTATTTTGCGTTAATTTTATTCCTTTCAAGGAATAAGAAATTGGACGATGACGTCGAAAGTATTCATTCGGTCAGCCCGACATGATCATCCGCATGGTGGATAAGAAATTTCAAGAGGAAAGTGATAACACCGACCTGACATGATAGCACGGTATACGTTCACTTATTTAGGTCGTATGCAGCTCTCGACAGCTAAACAACGCCTCGTAGCATGATGCGATCCGTGAACCTGTCGTGTAACGTGATCATAATCCCGGCTTGCCAGTGTTCTATAACGTTGTATAACGACTACCGGTCATTGCACTTGTCGCACTTTTATTCTTGTCATTCTTTCTCGTAATACCGGTCCAGCCACCTTTTGCGAGTACCCGCTTTTATTTCGTTGCATCAAAATCGCGCACACTCTCGTTTTATGCGGTCGTCACATCTTTATGGTGACAACTCTCTTTCGTTCGGTCTACAGGTGGCTCTAAAGTGTTGACGAAAAATACAAACTCCACGGCATGTTACTTCTCCTCCAAAAATAGGGTTAAACTATTTGAAATTATGAAAGAAGTTGCGATTATTTATTTATCATAAATTAAATATATAGGGAGTTATAAAAAATATGTTAACGTTAGAATCGAAGAGTCAGGTCGAATGAAAATTAATCTTTGTGCTCTGTTGTTAACATTGAAGAGGGTCATCATATGACATTTCGATAGCATTTATACGGTTATTTTTAATATCAGGCAATTATCGATCTTATTATACCTGTCCTTAAAACACATTTCAAACGACTTCAAATAAAGAGGTACTTTTTATAATTAATGCAAGAGAATTGCATCGAACGATTATTATTAGTTATATGCATAAGGGATATTACGGTGTTAACGTTTAACTCCAAACATCAAAAAGCGCTTTCTCCTCTTCACACTTGTAAACGGTCTTGAAATTTCTCAAACGATTTCCTAACCGAATTCAAATGTACGCCAGGTAATCGCTAGACAACAGGGCAACCTATTTTTCTAACATCGTGGGAACTCTCAGGCCATTAGACCCTTAAGAATATTTTCGTTGTCAAAGCTTGCAAAGCGGTTTCCTAGTCGCGTACAAAGACTCGTCGGGCCAGTCACTAGACCGCCGGAAACTCCGTGGCTTCCGACGTCGTGGGAATTATTATCTCTGTTTATTATTTAAAAACTAGTAAAAACGACTTCCAAGCCGGATTCGAAGACGCGTTAGCTAATCACTAGACCACCGGACGTCCCCTTTTCCGTCGCCGTGGGAATTATTTTCAGGTTATTAGGCATAGTGCGCATGTGCCGCTGCGCGCGCGAGATCCGCAGTCCTAGACGACATCGCCTGTCTTACGTATATTTGACGTCATCGACGATTACTCCTCTTTTCCCAAAGGTCCTTGCTCACCGACGCCGAGCACCTCCTAATAAATGACATTAGACGATAAATTGTCGTAATCCGCGTGACGCGGTGCGGTTTAGTTACGACAGACATGTTAAAAGCAGCGTCAACTCGACTCTCTACTCGGCAGAGTATTTCCAGATTTTCCTACGTTTTCTAATACGTCGAATTATTCTTCCTTTATTGCACAAATTATAATTGATATTACATTATTTTATGATTATATTTTGCCTTTTCCTTTGCTTTTCATTATTTACCTTACAATTGAGAATTCCCGGAGGAATGAATTTCAATCGAAATCATATGAAATAATGAGTAACAAGTGGGGAATTAAGGAATTTGTATTGATACAATTATAAGCCAACAATACGGTTACCTGCGGATTATCTACCGACTTGGATATTCTCTTCAAATTATCGTAAACAGTTTAACCACGTATGATTGGATCCAATGAAAGGGATAATCGGACTAATGACTATATTTGTATTTTTCTTTTTTTTGTTCAAGTTTAGTTGTATAAAAGTCTCGTAGAGAGGATAATTCGGAATGTGGTTGCAGGTGAAGCGGACAGGTGCTGCCGCGGCTCTTTCGTGCGGTGAATCGCGGTACCACTCGGCAGGTAAGGTAGACCTTCAAAGCATCCGTCGGTATGACAGATCGCGTTAAATAAAGTATCAAATGTAAGAAATGTACCTGCTTACTCTCTCGCAAGATCGCTCCACTAGACAGTTACTTTTTTGATTCTCCAATTTGATGAATAAACTTCTTGAATGTCATTAAATATGATATATTAACCCTACATATTCCCTTTTATCCAATACATTTAATAGTTAAGTCAAAATCGCTAAACATTTTCGTTTCAGAAACACCGCAGAAACCTACGAAACTACCCTTAGATAAATAAGAGTAAGGTTAATAATTTAAGATAAAATTACTTACTAGTGGAAACATCTTTCTCTTTACAAATTTCATAAACTATTAATACCCATTTCATTCATGAAAAATTATACTGATTTGATTATAGATTTTGAAAAGCATATATCTTGGCTCGACATCAAAGTTACACCTACATTTCTGGATTAAACGATTTACGACGTTTTATCCCAAAACTTTCAAGATTTTTTAATAATTCATCTAAAATTCTTCCGAAGTACCAAAAGCGTAGGGCAGGCTTATCAAAAGCATTCTTATCTAGTAAAATTCATTTTAGCAGCCGCGCAAAGCTCTTCGTCAGGAGACCTTTGAACCTTGAGTTAAAGGCTGGGAAAATGTTGGCTCCCTTCCACACGATGCACCGCCGTTTAGCATTACAATGAAATGGTCCATACTAAAATAGAGATAGATATTTCTGAACGTCACGTA